TTCCAGTTTGGACTGACCACAGTTACTCTATTTACATGCTTCTTTCTTTTGTGAAATGCTGTCTTGTTGGCAGGGACTCTGTTTTCTTCAGGGAAGCATGTTCTTTTTATCAGATTTTTAAAGTGTATATAATATTTCAGGCATACACAAAAAACTGTAATATAGCAGTCCCCAGTGTTTGTATTCAATGTTACCAGAACATTTTATACACACTGTATGTGTATGTGTGCGCGTATGTGTACGTATATATATGTAGAGCGCGCGCACACACACTTACATGAAAGCTGAATGCCATTTTCTTCCCTCCTTCCTCAGAGAACAATGGCTATCCTAAATATAGGGTTTATCATTTCCATATGTATTTTATATTACTTTATGTTAATGTTTTTTTGTTGTTTTTGAGACAGAGTCTCACTCTGTTTCCCGGGCTAGAGTGCCGTGACATTAGCCCAGCTCACAGCAACCTCAAACTCCTGGGCTCAGGCGATCCTCCTGCCTTGGCCTCCCAAGTAGCTGGGACTACAGGCATGCGCCACCATGCCCGGCTAATTTTTTCTATATATTTTTAGTTGTCCAGCCAATTTCTTTCTATTTTTAGTAGAGACGAGGTCTTGCTCTTGCTCAGGCTGGTCTTAAACTCCTGAGCTCAAACGATCCGCCCGCCTCAGCCTCCCAGAGTGCTAGGATTACAGGCGTGAGCCACCGCGCCTGGCCTATATTAATGTTTTATCTATAAAATGTAATATTTTCTATTTTTAAGATATTATATAAATAATATCACCTTGTTCACATTCTATAAGGATCCTTGCTTGTTTTTTATTCAACATCATTTTTGAGTTGTATTCATATTGAAACATGTAGCTTTAGATAATTTTAAATTGCTATATAGCATTTCATATATAAATATCTCACAGTTTATCCATTCTATTCTTGATTAGTATTTTGGTTTTCAGTTTTTTATTGTTAAGTCAATTTCTAATGAACATTCTTGTACAAAAAAGAAAAACTAATCTCTTATTTAAAAAAAAAGTATCCTAGCAAATATAACCTAAGTGAATATTAAGCAAACTTGAAGATGAATTTCACTTACTTTTAAAGTCAGATTTTCCCATTTATACACAGACATCATGGGTCTCTGTTACTTACTCTAACTAGCATTAAGCTAAGTACTTTGCATGCAAAGTTACTTTTTCCACTTAGCAATTTACAAGTCATGTATCATAAAAATTTTGTCTTAAAAAATGCTAAATGAAAGCCAAAATTAGGATTAAAAAAATTTAAAAGCTCTAGTTATAAGACCTGAGCAAAAAGCATATTAAATTGTGTGATAATAACTTAGAATAAGTGTGAATTCTCTGTTTTTCATTCATGATAGAGAACTGAATGTGACTTTGAATTATCTGTTCTTCCAGAAAATTTCTTAAAGATAGCTGGGAGAAGTATCTCCAGCTTCTTGGGGTGTACCATTTCAACAGTTTATGCCCTTAATAGTCAAGTTTTCCATTATGCTGAACTGAAATGTCTTATGTTTGAATTGAAGTTTATTTCCTTGTTTAATCTCCTACTAGCAAAGAAAACAGATTGTTAGTGTTCTCTTTTAAAATAAATAAACAAGCTAGGCTTTCTTCTCCTGAGGAAACAATTTCAAGTGTTTTTTGCTCTGATTCCTAGGACTTGTTTAATAAGGTACTGAAAATGATGAAGAAATTTACGATGCATTGCCTCTATTGTTCTCTGAAGGTGCAGTAATAGGACACCCCCCCCACACACACACAGAATACAAACAAATGAATATGAGAGTGAATATCCCAGGTTTGTTGAACCCATAAAGCAGCTCCTGTTCTTATTTTTTGTAAACTCAACAAAATTATGCTATTTAGCTTCACTTGTCTGCATTCTCTTACTAACACCAAGAAGCTCACTTCTTTCTGGCATATTTATTACTTTCCTCTTATTTGTGTATCCAGTTTCTGTCTGTGAGTGTTGCCATACCCTCTGCTAGAGTCGACTACCAAAGTTGTTTTAATCTAAAAAAACTTATGAAATTCCATTTATTCCAGAAAGTACACTGCAACCAATTAGAAGCATCTCACTAATTTCCTTCTTTATGCATTTCCATGTAAACATGCTTTATACACAATCCTATTATATTTTTTACCTTTCTCTTTGCATCTCTTGAAAAATAATTTGCATATTTAAAAATATGTACCCCTAATGCAATTCAGTATTATGTTCAGTTAATCTTTTACTTAGCAGTTTTACTTAAAGGAATTTATCCTATAGATAGTCTCACTCAAGCATGCTAAAAATTATGTACAAGGATATTCATTTGCAGTGCTGTTTATAGTATAAGAAACTAGAAACAATTGCAATGACTGATTAATAATAGACTAAATGAATTATGATATATCCATATAATTAGGTATCAAGTAACAGACACTGAAATATTTGTCTAATGAATGAATTATTGGGTTTTTTTTGTTCTTGTTTGTTTTTAAATATATTATTACATGGAAAAAGTGCAAAGTACAGACAGAACTTATTTCATGGAATAAAAATGATGGATGTATGTATATGCAATACGTGTTTATATACATGCCTTGATGCATATAGCATTTCTGGAATCGTGTACCATAAACTGTTAATATTAGTTACCAATGGGTCATGGGAATAGCGGTGAGTGGAAAGTATGATGCTTACTTTTAACATTAAAAAGGGAAAAACAAAACAAAGCAAAACTAAACCCCGAATAGAGTAGACCCTCAAAAATGAAATGATTGAAAAAAACCACTTACCCTTATAGCTTGAATCCTGTTTCCTGCTTCTTTCTATAGTACCTCTGCTTCAGTTTTCTCACTGTCTTACTTTTGCTTCTGTGCTTTGCTTTCTATTTGGAAATGTTCTCTCTCCTCTCTTGCACAAATAAATCTTTCTTCCTTTTCAAGACTCTATCTAGGGCCTAACCACTTCATGAAACTTCACTGGACTATTCCATTTCAAAGAAATCTTTCTTTTAGATACATGCTTAGCGTGTATCCAGTATCATATAATTTCACACTTATTCATTCAGTAATTATGTAATTATTTTTTCTTTCTGCTATAAATATAGATTTAGAGAATATTCATCACTTCTGTTTTATTTGCGTTGTGCATCTAGTGTTACCAGATAGTGTTTAAGAAATTTTTTTCCTTGATGTTAGTTAAAAATTAAACTGGAAAGAATATTTAGTAGCCCTGTTTTCAGTGAATATCCTACTTAAACCATCTGAAATCATTAGAAATTTTCTTAATTAATATTCAAATCAATAGTTTATTTGGAAGAGCATCACTAAGAAACACTAGAGCATTGTTTTTGACATTAAAAAATACTACAGGTTATACCTCAAATTTATATGGAAAGTATATGAAGTACATGCAACCAGAATTATCTTTAAGTTGCCATCTAACCTAAAGAAGAATTCTTTATTTATGAAATATAATAGATTTAATATTAGGATCATAAATTATGTATATCTGAAGCCGTATCATTAAGCACATATTTAGGATTGTTATATCTTCTTGGTGAATTGGCTTTCATTATTATAAAATCTCCCTGTTTATCTCTAGTAATGTTCTAAAGCCTACTTTATCTTAAATTAATATAGCCACTCCAGCTTCTTTAAGGTTAGTGTTTGCATAATATGTCTTTTTTGTATCCTTTTACTGTTAACTTATCTGTGTCTTTGAATTTACGAGTGTGTCTCTTTTAAACAGCACATAGTTGGTTGGGTCTTGCTTTTTTATCCAATCTGAAAATCTCTGACATTTAACTGGAGTGTTTATAGTCCATTTACATTTAATGTAAATCAGCTTTATTTTTTGAAGATTGTCTATTTTACTTTATTAGGGTGCCTCTTAGAATGAAGTAATCTGTTCTCGATTAAAGTAGCCCTATTCTTAAATCATGGCCTTTCTGAGAATTCAACTGAGTGCTCATGTTTAAGGAGTCTATCCACTGGCAGATTGGAGCTCTAGTATCCCTCAGTCAGTTATGACCTCCAAAATCTCTGTTCAGTTTACAGTTCCTAGATAGTTGTTCACTACCACACTTGGTGAGGTCTTGCTCTGCACAGTACACCTTAGTATTTACCCAAGTGCCCAAGAAGACACTACATTTCTGGACCTCCTTTCTTGTATTTCTCTCCTCTCTAGTATTCTGCCCTGCAGATTCCAGCTGCCACAGCAGCCTTAAATTTGTACCTCTGCCTTCTCAGCCTCGTACAATATTGCTGTGTACTGTTCGGGCCCCACCTTTCTGGACCAGAGTCTGGAATGTTCCACTAGGCAGAAGCTCACTCTTACGGGTTCATGTATATCTCTCTTGTTTTTAAGGATCATAATCCTGCACTTCAGATGTTATACAACAGTTGTTTCATATATTTTTTTTTTCAGTTTTTAGTTGGTTACAGCAGGACAATTTGTCCAGTACCAGTTAGTCCATCACGGCCAGAAGCAGAATCTTATAAAACATGTATTTAAAGTCATTCATTTTGACACATAAGAATATAAAGCTGTAATACAGAATAATAGACTCCGTATTACACTGGAGAAATAATCTAATCCAGCACACTTGTTTGAAAGATGAGAAGGTACATAAGCTCAAGTGATTTGCACTAGATTGCACTGTGAGTTAGTGATCAAGTTAGTACATATCCCAGGTTTTCACCACTGTTCTTTCCACTATAGTAATCTTTTGAAAATTTCTGCTACATTTGAAGCATTTTAAACTGTCATTTTTTTTTTAGAACCCCTATAATTTAAACATCCTCTTCGCTCCGTTTTTTTTGTTATATAAATGGTATTGTTAATCCTGCTGTTAACCTGGGCATGAAAAAAAGAATCATTTATAAGTATATTTTAGAATAATTGACATGATGTGGAACTATATAAGTCCATATAAGACTTAGAAAAGGAGACATTTAGTTCTTTTAATATAATTGGGTTTTTGTTTATTTTTTCAGTTTGTTTTCTTTGCTGTCTAAAAAACACAACAAAGTTCTGGAACAAGCCACACAGTCCTTGAGAGGTTCGCTGAGTTCTAATGATGTTCCTCTACCAGATTATGTAAGTAGTCACCTTATTTCATCAATTAAATTTTTCTTTTCATTGTTAAACTTATAAATAACAATACCCCTCTCTTTTCAAAACCTGTGCTCTTCGTGCCTGAGAAACCTCTAATATGCAAAAAAGGAGTGATAATCTCAAATCAAGGGAAAAAATTGTAGATGATTGTTAACAAGTGGTTGAAGAAAATCAGCTGTAAATCAATGATTGTTAATAATTGATTAGAAACTCATTCAGACTAATTACACAAAAACGAAAGGAGGAATTTATAGGAAGTATGCAAAGATTTCTCATTGAACTTAAGGGAAAAAAGTATACCTGGATTTCACAGAGATTGAAAAGCCATTGGGTTCAGGAATATCCTGTTTCGGTGGCCATTTAGTTTCTGATCTCTGCTCCATTTTTTTCTGCTTTGTTCTGCTGCTTTCTACTGCCAGCTAGGTTTCTGTGTTTGCATACTTGGCCCTAAAATAGCAACCCCAGCTCTTCTCCTCCTTCCCACCGACCTATAACATGTTCTTGTGAGTGTAGTGCCTTAAGCTAACCAGAGTCTTGAAATCCCAATTCTCAATTCCTGGGAAAGAGAATCTCATTGCTGTGCTGTCATCAGTATAATAACTCATGTGAGTCTATATGATAAACTTTACTTACAAATTGATGCCAACTATTTATTGGCAAGCAAAGTAAAATAAACTTCTCTGTGCCAAAGAAAATAAGTTTTTCATATCAGAAGTAAAAATGGAATATATATATATATATATATATATATGGTAAGAAATATTTAGAACCTGCCACACAAGGCCAGTAGGAATATCCCAATAATTAACAAAAACCATTTTCAGTTTCCCATTAATCACAAAACTATTTAAAAGCTACATAAAAGTTTAACTTCACATATTAGAAATACATTTCAATTCACCCATAGAGCCAACACGCTTCAATATGGAAGAAAAAATTTATTAATTGACTTAAAAGAAAAACACTGTTAAACTCATACACTATTGCTTTAATGGTAATTATGGAATTTTATCACTTCGACATTTCTTTTCAAGAGTAAGAATCAGAAATCCATCCTTAGTCCCCAATGTGGCAGTATTGAGAGGCGGGGCCTTTAAGGAGGGATTAGATCATAAGGGTTCTAGCCTTGTGAGTGGATTCATGCATTCATAATGGAGTAGTAGGTTAATGGATTGATGGGTCATCATGGAAGGGAAACTGGACGCTTTATAAGAATAGAAAGAGAGATCTGAGTTAGCATGTTAACACACTCAGGACCTTGCCATGTGATGCCCTGTACCACCTTGGGACACTGCAGAGTCCCCACTAACAAGATGGCTCTCACCAGATGCACCTTGTCAACCTGGGACTTACCAGTCTCCATCACTGTAAGAAATAAATCCCTTTTCTTTATAAGTTAACTAATTTCAGATATTCTCTTCTAAAAGCAACAGAAAGCGGACTAAGACAACACCTGGCCCTAGAAGATGCTGATGGAATAGAATAGTAGCAGCACAGGGTGAGCATTATATAACACTAGGAAGGAACATGCACTAGGAGCTTTTTTAGGGCTTGCTGCTATCTGTGTGACATTTCTTGTGTTTTGGAATATAGCTTAGATAAAGATGCTAAAAATTATTTTGCCATAAACCAGAGGAGAAGTTCAAGTTCCAGTAAGGACCCTCCCTAAATCGCCAGACAACAACATAGTGGGTTGGCATTTAGAAACTTTATTAGAGAATTTTTAAATTCTGAGTTTGGAGTGGTGATGCATAACAGACAGCGGGAGAGTGGCTTTGCTTGTTTCCTGGGGTTTGTTTCCTTTCTAACTCTTTGTGCTGATGTGAGACTGTGGGAACAGCACCCAGCCCAGATATTGGTCTCTGATAAACAAGGATAGCTGTGTGCGGCCACAACCTGACTGGTGCCATTTATCTTCTGTTTTATTTATTGTATGTGTGTGTGTTATGTTATGATCTAGGTATCATAACATTAAGGTATTAAGTTTGTAATTCTAAAAAGTATCTTTTAAGATTTTCCTGCTAGGTTGAATATTCAAAACTTTTTTAAAAACTAGCATAACAGCTCACTTAGTTCTATACTTGCTATGACTGTGATATGAAGAATATTTCTTTCTAATAGCTGTTTTCTGAAAAACTCAGCTGGGACCAGGGTAGCAATGGGGATTTATGTTTAGTAAGAATTTGAATTTTGTTCGTCTGCAAATGTTTTATTACTTTTATATAATTATACTATACCTGTGCCATTTATTCCACAAAAATGTGTTAAATTTGTATAGTCCTGAAGTTGCCCTAGCAGCATTCCCCTTTAATCGGAGATCCATAAAATTGATATTTCTTTGAGGAAATAGGTCATATATTTGCCAGTCATGGAGGTGATTATGCAGTGATAGAACAGTTTGAATTTGTAACAACCATGTGAATTCTCCTTTTGAATTTTACAGTTTTTAGAGTCATTGATTGACTGTTTTCTTCTTGCATGGACTTTTCACTAAGTAAAAATGAATTTCTTAAAGCATCTTCTTTCTAGAAATACTTGGAAAATTCCCTTTGGGATCTTTCACTAACAGTTCTTATTTTAACCTTTGCGTGTATGAGACTTTGCAAATCACAAAATTTTTCAAATGGGTTTATGAACCTGAATTTTGGTGCCTTTCCTTGGAGTTAATTGAAGAGGATGGTTAGCACTATTTCAGTAGTAGCGACGACTCTGAATCACTCCTTCTGACACCGATCTGAAAGGTGATTAAAGAAAACAGTAGTAACCTTAACAATAAGCATAGTATGTTCTTCTTTCCTGATAACTCAAAGCTTTGTTGGTCATTGCCATTTCTCAAAACACTGTGTGTAAGTGATTTACACATTTGAAACCATGTTCTCTTTTAAATTAGTCATTAACTGGGAAAATGAATATGTTCCTCCCTTTTTCTTCCACAGAATTTTTACTTGTTAAGTGTCCTTGCCAACAGCTACATAGAATTCTGTGTCCTGGACTAATACTTTAAACCACTTGTTTGTAAAAGACGGAAAAGGAAAACAAAAGAGTCTTAATGCAGCGGTGGTTTCCCAGATGTACACTTTCTGCACCAAAATTGAATGAACTATATTGGGGAAGAGTTTGAATAAGTGCTTTAGAATAAGGATATGTTTTTCTTCTCACTGTAATACATAGAGTACTTTAAGTCTACCTAGAGGTTTCTGGGTTTGTTAAGAAAATGTTTATCCTCATTATGCTGTATAATTCACAAGTCCGTCGAGCAACAACATAGAAAGCAAATTGCAAGTTACAAAAACATTAGTATTAGTACTTTAGTACAACAATGTTTGTCTGAACATCTCAGGGGAAACCTGAAACCTTCAACCAAGTTCTAGATAATGAGGAAACTGCCCTGGCTGCTTAAGGGGAAATAAAACAAAAATTGTTCTCAAGTCTTCTGTGGGGAGAGAATGCCCACTACAGAGAGTGCCTCTACGGGACCAATAACGGTGTTCAGGAAAGCAAGTAAAGTTCAGTTGACGTGGCTGTGCTTTGGTGTCTGTATCAGGGTTTCATAAAATTTAATGACTAAAGGGACAGGAGAAAATTGTTAAAGGAGAATCTTTCATCAATTTTTTAAAATAAAAATGAACCCTTCAGACAACTTTGATCATACACAACCAAATCTGAATATAGAAAATGAAACAAAGATAACAAATGAGTTATGGTTGCTTTTTAAACCATAACCGTGGTTTTTAAGTCATGAATATTATCACAGTGTCATATAAGCTTTGTTTTCCTTTTGTAGTTTCTGATAATCATCTTAGCAACTATTTGAGATGACAATAATCTAACTTTTATTCTAGGTGGAACCATAACAAACCAAATTATATCGCCCTCTGGTTATCAAAGAGCTTTTGAATCTTTCTGTAGGACTGACCTGACCATTTAACTCCAAACAGTAACTATTAATATTATTACAAAGACACAAGCCAAAAAGACCCTGACCAAACAGAGTAAGGAGCCAGAATTAGAAAAATAAGCAGACAGTAGCTATGAAATTTGTCACTATGAAAACAGCTTCTTTTAAATGTCACTTTTGAAACAATTATTTTTGGTTGTTGGCTTTACATGCATTTATTCCAGTGACGGTGACATTAACAGAATATTGCTAGAACTTCTGTTTTGGAATTACTTTGAAAGATCTATAACCAAACTTGTAAGATGTCAGAAGAGCAAGAGAACAACTTTCAGGAAGGAGGGGGAAGTATTGTGGCAGTCTTCACGGAAAAGAGATGAAATTTGAGCTAGGTAGTATTTTTTAAAAGAGAGATTAAGGTGTGAAAACATTCCAGGGGTTATGCTTCAACAGGAGCATAGAAGTGGGAAAAAAAATAATGCATCATTGCCATGTCTAGTATATAATAAGTGCTGAAGAATTATTTGTTACCCTCTCTCATACCATATACAAAAATTAACTCAAAATGGACCATAGACCTAAATGTAAGAGCTAAAAGAAAATATGAGTAAACTTTCATGACTTTGGGTTAGGCAGAGACTTCTTAGATGACACCAAAACATAAATGAGAAAAGAAAAATAGATAAATTACACTTCATCAAAATTTAAAACTTTTGTGTTTCATATAATGCGATTAAGGAAGTGAAAAGAAAATCCACAAAATGGGAAAAAATATTTGCAAATCATCTATCTGATAAGGGGCTAGTATCTAGAATATGTAAAAAACTCTTAGAACTCAGTATTTAAAAAATAAATAACACAATTTTAAAAATGGACAAATATATTTTGTGACCTGGTTCTGTAGCTTGTGAGCTGTGTGGCTTTAAGCAGGTTGTTTTGGTTGTTTTGCCTCTCTGGGCCTGTTATCTCATCTATAAAATGGCAATGACAGGAGAACTGACCACCTAGGGTTCTTGTGAGAATTAAATGAATGAGTCTCCAGGTAAGATCCTTGTCACATAGTAAGGTTAGCTGTTGCAATTATGCT